GACTTCCCCCGTTCACTTACCCTTGCATCTTGGAGCTCTTTCCATGTTGGTCCTTCTAGAAGCTTGGCATTTTATCATTGGCTTCATCGTATTTCCTTGTATGAATGTACTTCGATATATATATTTAGCCATTTCTCTATTTTTGGACTTTCAGGTTGTTTCTCATCTTTTTCTATTGCAGTTATAGCTGCAGTGAACTTTCTTATATATAAGTCTCTTGGATATGAGCCCGTGTTTCTGCGGAAGAGATATCTAGAACCGAAAAACGTGAGATCATTTGTCTAGAGAAGGTCTCATTTTAACTCATAATGAGTCACCTATTATTTTCCAGAGTTTTCTCTTCTGAATCTTCTATGAGGGCCTTCAACCGCTGTAAATTTTCACCCAGAATCATCACAGCAACCCTGTGAAAACCAAGTATGGTCCCTATTTTACAAAATAAGATCGAAGCCAGGATTTACTAGCTAAGTCCAGAACACAGGTCTTGTCATCATGCCAAACTTGCCCCTTTGGGGGATGTCCTCTCAGCCTGGGTCAATCCCAGTTTTCACACTTAAAGATGGGAATGGAGACAATATCTACTTCTGGCATTGTCGTAAGTACTCCGTGAGAGAACGCTGGTAAAGCATTATTATCAGTAAATATGTTTTCCGCCTTTCCCTAGCAGCCAAGGGGATTTTATCCTATTTGCTTCCTGTGATTTGCATGACAAAACCAATAGGCTTATATTTTTCATATCCGAATATACAGATATATAATAATATTGAATAGGCTTTTTCAGACCCACGAGTTTGATATGCCCACTTATCCTTACCCCGGCGCCTCTCAGCATTCACAGATTGCCAAGTGTGACCCCAAGTCAAGAGAGGGCCCTGGCCCACTGCGTCCTCCTTCGGCATCTGCTCCTAGCAGAGAAAGAACTGCCCATTTCCAGCTGCAAGGTTAAAATGGAAACCAGTTAAAGCGCAAACGAAGGGCTCAATTTCCTAGTAGTGCAGCTGTCTAGCGCCTTGAGCTATTTTTAAACCCCTTTTCAGAAACTCCAGTGCTTGCAATGGATCTCTTTTCTTAACTGCCAAGAGATAATGTTTAAAAGGGATAGCATGAGAATATTCCACGGCACTCATAAAAATGACTGAAATAGACAGTGCGTAAGACAGCTTTTGTCTGGCGCAGTGGAGGAGAGAGAGATGAGGTCTTTCAGACCCCAGGGCAGCCGTGCTGCTGGATTGCTGCTGAAAACTATGGCTTCGTGTCTTAAATGTGCACTGTGACCAGAAAAGGCAAGGAAACCAAACAGTCATTGTAGGGAACATCAGAGACCCGACCTTTACATCAGTCATCAATTCCTGGAAACAGGAGACCCCGAAATAACCCCCAAAGAATCCCCCTCAACTTGAGTGCTGCCTTATCTGGTAAACCTGTACAAGCTACCTACAATTAGATTCGTTTTCTGCCCCCTTACTCCTGAATTTTCCCCCACTTCATTTGGTGGAACCACCAGCTAGGCAGTCATTCCTATTAAAATTCAGGAATCATCCTCAACTCTGCTTTTCTTCGCTTCCTACATCCAATAAAGTCTTACTTATTCTGTCTCCTAAGTAGTTCTGGAGACTTATTCCCTTTCTATCCCCACAACCACTGCCCTGAGTCAAGCCTTCATCATCTCTCATCTGGATTTTCAAGAGCCTCTCAACTAGTTTCTCTGACACTATTTTTGTCCCTCTTCACTAATCGACACTAGGATTATTATTATTATTTTTAATCTCAAATTTCATAATGTCACCTCTTCCTTAGAATCCTCCAGTGTTTAATTGACCTCAGAAGACAGTCCATACTCTTTAGCAGGGCACACAAGGCCCATCCTCCCTCAGCCCTGCTATAATCTACCTCTCGCATTATGCTCCAGCAACATCGAGTTACCTGTCATTTTCAAAACACTATTATTTATTCCCCCATGCCTTTGTGTATGCCATCTTCCCTCCCTGGAATGTCATTCATACCTATTTTTTAGCAGGTAATGTTTTATTGACTTTTGAGGTGAATATAACAAAGTAGACAAGTTCTAAATTTAGAACTCGATGCATTTTTACAGAATTAACATATTCAAGTAATGATTATACAAATCAAGGATTCGAATATCATCGGAACTCCAGAAGCTTCCTTCCTACCCTCTCCCAGAGGTAATCCCTGAAAGGTAATCAATATTCATTCCAGATTGATTTGTTTTGCCCGATTTTGAACTTTATTTAAATGGAATGATACAGTATATGCTTTTTTAAAACATCTGGTTTCTTTCATTTAATATTATTTTGTGGGCTTCGCCCATGTTGATTCATGTGGCAGCAGTGTGTTCTTTTTTATTGTCTTATAACCTTCCATTGTATAAATATACCACAATTTATTTATTCAGTCTGTGGCTAATGTTGATGGAAATATGAGTGGTTTCCAGGTTTTAGCTATTACAAAAGTGTTGCTATAAACATTCTTTTACATTTTGGGGGGTGGTGAAATTATATATGCATTTCTGCTGGGTAGAATTGCTGGACTGTATGATATACATATATTTAGCTTTAATAGATATTGCCAACCAGTTTTCCAAAATGGTTGTGCCACTCTACATGGCCACTAGCAATAGATGAGAGTTCTTGTGGTTCCATATGCTTGTCCACTCTTAGGATTGTCAGTTTTTAACTTTTGTTCATTTTGCCAGATTTTTAAACTATGGCTAACAATTTCAGTTTTTGAATTGTAGTGTTTAGACAATTTACACTTAATGTAATTATTGATATATTGGGTTTAAGTCAACCATCTTGTTATTCACATTCCATTTATTGCATCTGCTTTTTGTTCCCTTTTTCCTCTTTTTCTTGCCTTCTTTTAGATTATCGAGTATATTTAAGTGTTTGCTTTGGATTTTATATTATGTATCTTTGACTCAACACGTTCTATCTTTAAATAGTGTTATAAAACTTCATGTATAATGTAAGGAGGTTAAAAGAATACACTTCCATTTCTCTCTGGGTTTTTTTTTTTTTTGCATGTGCTTTTATGATTGTCATACTGATGCTTCCACATGTATTATAAAGTCTGTATTTTTTGTCTTAAAGAGACAATTATCTTTTTTATTAAAAATAAAAATTTATATTTACTCACATATTTATCATTTCTAAAGCTCTTTATTGCTTTGTATAACAAGTTTACAAATGATGCCACTCAATAAATGTTTGCTGAGTATATGAATGATCGCTTTCTAAATAAATGAATAAAGGCCCATAGCCTCTTTGAGACTCCATTTCTTCATCCGTAAAATGTATACAATAATATCTTTTGGCAGCTGTCATAAAATTGCTATGAAGATCTCATGGGATAATGGACTACTAGAAGTGGGTTAATACCCTGGAAAGTCGTTCTGCCTGTATATCTTCAAATATTTATTTGCCCTATTTTCTCCTTTTTTCTTATAAGACTTCGATTGCTTGAATTTTAGATCTTTTCACCATATTTTATGTATGTATATTTCTCCGTTTTCGTAGTTTACATAGTTTTTCTTCTGTGCTTACATCTGGATATTTCCTACTGTCGTCTCTCCAAGTTTACTAATCCTCTCTTCTATCATATCAAATTTGCTATTAATTTTTGCTATTAAGTTCTTAATTTTAAGTATCGAACTATTTAGTTCTAGATTTTCTATTTGATTTTTTGAATAGATCCAATTCTCCACCTCACCATCACTCTCTTGAAAAAATTAATCGCAGTCATTTTAAAGACTGTATTTGTTAACCTCCAAGTCTGAATTACCTGTGGGTCCATTTCTTTTGTCTGATTTTTTCTTCTTTTGCATTATGATCTTTTGGTTCTCCTTTATTGGAATATCTGGTAAAATTTTTATTAAAAACCAGACATTTTCTTGAAAAATTATAGAAAATCTGGACGATGTTATATTTCTCCAGAGGGGCTTCTTGGATGCAGTTAATATAGGAACAGTTCCCTCAGTCCAATCAGAAATTGAGATGGTTTGAGTGTGAGTTTGTTTTTGTAAGGCCTGATCTATTCCCAGCTGCCCTTGCTCCCGGGACTTGGGCCTTCGGTGGTCCCGTTAAAAGTCTGCTCTATTTATCAGGGCCCTTCCTTTCTCGCAGAACTTGAATTCCCTCAGTACCTTGAGACTGACAAAAATTTTGCTTAGATTTTTAGACTTCTAGGTGTCATCTTCTAATTGACTTTCCTGGTAAACAGCAAACGCCTCAAGGGGAAAAGGGCTGTAGAGTATCACTCACTTCTCTATAGCTCCCTTCGATTTACAATCTTCTCTCAAGTCCTAGTTGCCTTGATTGCTCTTAATCCTTTCAAACAGCTGTTTTTGTCTTCTGCTTGATCGATCATTTGATTTGTAGTCTAGCCTTTCCAGTTATTCTTGGCAGGAGAATCGGTACATCATAAACAGCTCTAATGCAGAGGTGCCTTCCTGCCCCTTTTTGCCTGGCAAACTTGCCCTTTTAGCCTTAGATGCCATTTCATCAGAAAATCTGCTTCATATTGTTCACCTAACTCCACCCTTCTCTCTTGACTCCTTACGCCCGCTCATCTACAATCCCATAGTACATTGTATGGTTCCCATGGAGCATATCGGCCATTGTTTATAATTACCTGATTTTGTCTCTTTCTCCCTGATGAAACCATGAGTGTCTTGAAGCCAGGGACTAGAGTTTATTCATCTCAGTATCCTCCATGCCTCATACAAGGCCTAGCTTAAAACACACACACACACACACACACACACACGCGCGCGCGCACACGCACACGCACACGCACACACACGCACACGCACACGCACACACACACGCACACACATTAACACAAACTTAGTTGTTTCTCTATAGATGTTCAAAAAAGCATCGAAATGCCAGCCAGATCCACCAAATATGGGATTTTCTTGACCCTAGAAGTCACTACCGGGATTTCTAGACTCACTCTCATGGTCCTCTTCACTTTCTTAGGGGTTCTCCCAGTGATCTTAAGAACATGGCCATGAAAACTCCGGTGACGTGCCTTATGCATCCAGAACCACCACCTTAAAGAGGCAGCAGTGATTCACCCAGACACATCACTTCACCTGTTCCATCTTCGGATCCCTCATCTGTAAAGTAGCAATATTAAAATCTACCTTCTTGGGTTATGTGAGTTTTAGCTTTATCGTTAAACACAAAACTTTGAAGCTAGATTGCCTGGGTGCCAATCCTTACTAAGCTACTCACAAGCTGTGTGACTTTGGGCAAGTTAATTAACCTCCCTGTGTTGGTAAGAAATTAACATCCACAAAATTCATAGAGCAGTGCCTGGCACAGAAGAACTATTCCCCATTAGTATTCTATGAGGATCAAATGAAATACAATTTGTACCTATAAAATACAATGTTGGTTATTACCATGATGACTTAATATCATTATAATTAAACCATTTTCTCTGGAAAAGAGCAGCTTAACCCTGAGGCTTCAGTGGGTGCTATTAAATGATATATTTAACTAAAATATGAAAATTCAAACTTTCACTGTTGGCTTCTTTAATTTGCTTTAAAAACAAAAGACATTTTCAACCCTAACATTTACTTTGAATGATTCACATATGAGAACTGAGGTTTTCCCTGTAGTTCCTAAAATCTGTAAGCCAGAAACCTAGGGCATTACGTGTTTCCCCAAACACAGGCTGTGGGCAGACTGGGCCAGAGACAGCAAAGGAAATGTCTGAGAAGTGGGCAGTGCCCTCCGGTTAGTGTGGCATTCTCTGCTGAGGCTGTTGTCCCCTGGGGCTTCACACTCAGGACCAAGGCACACTCTGAGGATGTTACGGCAATGGGGACGAGAAGACTGAGTCTCTCTGGACCAGGATGTTGGCCAGGCAGCAGGGGATTTGAAAGCAAAGTTCCAGAGGAGTTAGCAGGATAGGCAAGAGCCAGGTTTCAGAACAGCTGGGTGAGGCCTGAGGTGTGCCAGAACCTGATCTCACCAGAACAAGCCACTACCTGAAGCAGCACAGAGCTTCAAAGGTGCCAGCCAAGAAGAAGGTCCCAGAGGGGAAACCAGGCTTCCGATGTTGGCAAGACCGAACATCCAAGTGTGGAGGACCGCTGGGCCACAGAAGGGTCGATTACAGAGCTAAGAGTTAGTTTAGAATTGGGCAGTGATGGGTTCAGAGCCGGAACAGAGC